ACCCCCCGATTACAACCTTCCCTAGTGAGAGTCAGGGTTGCAACCGGCCGGGCCGAGATTATGAGAATTAAAGCTCATATCAACCAATCCAACAAAAAAGATAGAAAAGTAACATAAAATTAACTAGAAAAATCACTACAATTAGTGAGAGAATCAGTCGAGCCAGTGTGGAAATTTCGTGGCTTTTTGCGAACCCAGAACGACCATCTCCACACGCTTGTACAGTAATCTTGTTCTTGTTTTATCTAACAAAAACGACGCAGTGCTGAACGTAGTCTCACACATGGCTTCACTGGGAACAATCGAAAAAACGAAAAGTGCTGCTGAGTACAGTCCGGGGTATTCGAATCTTTTTCTTTTCCAATACTCCTCAACCGATTCGTTCGTTGAAGGATCGTTCAAATATTAATTAATTGCCGGCCGGCCGGGCCGGGCCGGGCCCTGGTTTTTTCCCTTTGATTGCAACCCTGGTGAGAGTGGAAATTGTGTGTTTTTATCACTGCTGACTTGTTTGTTTTATCTGCGTCTCTGAAAATTCAACACTATTTCTATTCCTCACATGGGAAGTGTTTTCAAAAAAGGGTTGAGATTTTCTTGAAAATCTGAACAAGTATACTATAGGACCTCCTAATCATGGAGTCATTTTTTGTTTTTCCACCCCGGCCTCCAGAAGCTGAAAATTCGCGTCTGAAATTTTAAAGTGCTTCTAACGGCCTCTGAGCGCCGCGTCTTCCTCCCTTTCTTATATTCGTTGAAGAACGAGGAGAGAGCAGGCGGCAGTGGTGTAGTGGTGAGGAGGGACGGACGTATCTGACAAGGGTCAGGTTCGATACCGCTCTCCTAAATATTTTTTGTTTTTTTTTTCTGACCCCTCTGTTAGTCTCAAAATGTTGCTTCAAATTTTTTTTTGGAATTTTTTTATTCAAATTATCATTTATTTGGGAGCAACCATAATTTTTGACGAAATTCGAAAAATACTGGTAGATGTGCTGGAAAATTTTGGAAGTCACACTATCAAGTCTTCGCTAGTCGTAATGTTAGTCCGAGTTTCCTAGATAGTCTCATATTTCCGTTGGAAAAAAAAAACATAAATCAGGAACTATTCAATTGGGAGCTATTTGAGTGCTTCCAGTCAATTTTCGAACTATGATCTATTTAAGTTTCGAAACTTACCAAATCTTGTCAAAAGGCTTTTTTTATTGTCTCTTTACTTTTAGAATTCTTCGAAATTTTGAAAAAATTTTTCGAAATTTTGAAAAAATGACCAAGAAGGTACCCCATGGCGACATTTTTCTCGAAAAACAATTTTTTTTTGAAAAATGAGCAATCTCTATCAGAGTGTAGTGCAACACTGAAAAGTACGATTCACATACAAAAAACTTTGAACTACTGCTATAAACCCTTCAAAAATTGACTCCAAAAGTGAGAAATTAGTACTGAAATCACTTTCAGAGCTCATAACTTTTTTCACAGGGCCGGGGTGGAAAAACTAATTTCAGTTCTATAATCAGCGTGTTCAAAAGTACTAATGACAAAAGTTTGAGAAAATTCTCAACCCTTATCTGAAAACACTTCCCTTGTCAGGTTGTAACCATAGGATGAGAATTCGGAGAACGAGAACAGATACACGTGAGAACTACAACAAATAATAATTTTTTCTACAACTTAAACTTATTTCCGTTCATCACTTTTTTAAAATCTTTCATAAGAACTCAAAACTCTTGTTTCAGTATTTGTATTTATTACGTAAAAAATACGTGAAAGAATAAAAAGAAAAAAGAATGAAAAAGAGAATAAATAGACAAAAAGGGACATGGTGGCATAAAATTGATATTTCTTAACCTAGACATGAATAATAGTGGATAATAACAAATCTTTTTCCGAACTTCTGACAGCAGCAGGCTTTTAGATCCGTTTTGTAGAGCTCATCATTTTACTAAGAACCCTATGTGTGAAGAAGTTTTGTTTAAGTTTAGACTTTGGAGTTTTCCATTGGTAGGTGTGGCGGCTGCGCGTTTTTGTCGATCTAATTTTAAAATATGATAAATGATTTATATTAATTTTACCTAGAATGAGTTTGTTGAAGAATTTCAGATCAAGCTTTTCCCGTCTAGATTGTAGTGATTCTAGGCGGAATTCGGTCAATCTGTCTTGAGATGTTTTGTAATCCTTACCAATTCTCGTTAAAGGTGGGGGGACAGGAGATTTTTCGTAGTTTTTTTGTAGCTAGAGTATGCATTCTACCGTCACGGTGTACAACACTTAATGTCACTCTGCGTACAGCTGTCGTCCTCGCCTTTATGTATGCAATCGGGCAGGCGCTTTCTCCTTGCCCGCGTGGCTCAGTCGGTAGCGGCGCCGCACCCTCAATCATCGCCCTCACAAGTTCAACTCCTCGAGGGGCATATTTAAACGAAATTTCGAGAACATTATTTTTTTCATGTCCCCCCACCTTTAAGTTTCTACCCACTATTCTATTCATCAATTTTCTAGTGAAGGAGCTTTGCACTTTCTCTATATTGTCAATGAGCACTTTTTTAGAAGGGCTGGCTACCACCGTTCCATATTCCAAATACGGTCGCACAAAAGTCTTATATAGTAATGACATTAATCTAACGTTCTTACTATGATAAGTTTTAAAAATAAAGTAACTA